GATACAGTCCATGCAGCTGGGTGAGCAGGCAGGACTGGGGACCAGGGAAGGTCTGAGAAGATTGGAAACAGGCTGTGGTGGGTGGGATGTAGTCTAAACAAGCTTTTGCCTCCCCTGACCCCACCTCCTGCAGGAGATCCGTGTTCTCCAAGCCCACATCTCAGACACCTCGGTCATTGTCAAGATGGACAACAGCCGGGACCTGAACATGGACTGCGTTATCGCCGAGATCAAGGCTCAGTACGATGACATCGCCACCCGCAGTCGTGCCGAAGCTGAGTCNTGAGCTTAGGTTAAGACCATTGAATTAGATGATCAGAAGGACTTCCAATAGCTTGAGTGGCCACACAGGCAGTCTGACAGAGTGTTGCAGGATCTTTTCATTTGTGGAATTTTTGTCCAGATACCTGCCTAGGAGTAGGGCTGTGATTCCCCCATGACGTATTTCTATCCTACTTCAGCCTTCTCTGAGCTGAACCACTCAGCAGCTTTCCCCTCTGCTCTGTGGGATGGAAGCTTCCACAGTCTTCCAGGTCCCTACTCCTGTAGCACCTGGATCAGATGTCAGCCCCAGGGTCGCTCAGGTTTTCTAGGTCCTAGGGCTCTGGGTATTTCACTACCTTGGGTGCTGAGTCCTGAGGGCCCCTTGCTGTATGAAGCCCCATACCTGAGCTGGGATTGACACTCAGGTGAGAGGAGGCTGGGGCTGCAGAGCCCGAGAGGCCATGCTGTTCACTCCCAGCATGGGGTTGGGACAGAGTCCTTATTTGTCTTCTAGCTGACTTCACAGGAGCCTTGGGATAGGACTGGGAGGTCAAAGAAGATTAGCCCTCTTCCCCAACTCAAAGTGGAGAGAGAATCCCAGACACATCCTAAATCCCACCAGAAAGGACTTAGCAGTGAAGCCAGAGGCCCAGTGGGGTTGGGTGTTCCCAATATTTCACCCGTCAGTGATATGAAGTGGCAGGGGGTTCTGCAGATGCCGTCCTTCTATGACCTGCCCTCTTCTCTCTTCTGTCTCAGGTACGAGGAGGAAGTTTCTCTGAGAGCAACAGCTGAGAATGAGTTTGTGGCTCTGAAGAAGGCAAGTAACACGGGGGTGGGAATCACAGACCCATGGAATCTCAGATTGACAGACTCTTCTTGGGGAGATCTGGGGCTCAACCTCAGGGCGGGGTGCAATGGCCTTTCCAAATCAGGAAGAAATATTCTTGGAGAGGTATACCATTGAATGGTGCATCCAGGACTTTGACAAAAGGCGAAAAGAGAGAGGAGTCTGGGGCACAGCCACCAGGGATCCTCTGAGTTTCAACACTGCCCACCTTTCCAGGAGGTGGACTGCGCCTACCTACGCAAGTCTGACCAGGAGGCCAACGTGGAGGCTCTGATCGAGGAGATTGACTTCCTGAGGCGTCTATATGAGGAGGTAAAGGGCTGTGGGCCAGGCAGCAACCTGGAAGCCAG